CACATCCCGATGACCCGGAGAGTGTCAAGATCATTTTCAAACTGCCTAACGATTCCAGAGTGGAGCGGCGATTCCACTTCACACAGTCACTGACGGTGAGCTCGGGGCAGAGCTGATGGGCATTCCCGAGTGAGGGAATCAGGAGGCTTCCATGTGGCTCAGCAAAGCTTCGGTTTCCTTGCACTGTGACAAATGGTGACCTTTGCTGAGAGCCTTAGCAGGCATAGCTGCTCTTGGGTAAGGAGAGGTGTTGTGGGGCCTAGTCCCACCAGCTTGGGAGAGAGGAAAAAATGAAAGAAACTTTTTCCTTCTCAGTAAAAGCTGAAACTTCTAGTGGAAGGTATCTCTGCTTATGGTGGTGGGGTAGAACTAGATGATCTTTAAGGTCCCTTCCAACACGTATTTTTGTGTGATTCCATTGCTCCTTATTAAATAATGGTGTAGGAAAAGCCAGAAACAGTATCTGCACTCCTCAAGTGCTCTGTGACAACTCCTGTTTCAAAGTGTGCCAAGGAAACGGCTGTCTCAGGTCTACAATGCAGTGATGGTGCAAATTTGGTAGCGTTCCCCTGCGAGATGCCAGGGATTCCATGTGGCTGTGTCACTGCTCCCCCAGCTGGCAATTATTTCTGTGCTTCTTTCCCAGGTGATCCACGACTTCCTGTTCTCCTTGAAAGAAAGCCCTGAGAAGTTCCAGATTGAGGCCAACTTCCCTCGCCGTGTCCTGCCCTGCCTCCCTACAGAGGAGTGGCCCAACCCCCCCACGCTGCAGGAGGCCGGACTCAGCCACACGGAAGTCCTCTTTGTGCAGGACCTCACGGACGATTGACACTTCTTTTGGTTTTGTTTTTTGGTTTCTTTTTTGGTTTTGTTTTTGTTCTTGTTTTTTTTTTCCAGAAGACACAAAACGGAAAGAGAAATTCATATTATTATTATAATACAATATTTTTTTTAAAAGACTGCGTACAAACGAGGGATCAGAGACCACATGGCCCGTGCCAGCTGTGCTGCGTGTGTGCGCTGGCGAGAGGACGCGTGCGCACGGCCATCCCCTGCACCGGGGGGGGGGGACAGAGAGGGGGGAGCTGGTGTTGCCCCTCCACCTTCCCTGGCGAGGAACAGGAATGGCAGCTCTTGGTAATTACTGCTTTTATTGATGACAATAATAATAAAACCCCGACAACCTGACATCGCGTGAAGATTTGATACTCTGCTGCTCCCGAGAGACACAGGACCGAGCACCGGAACGTGCTGGGAGTGGGGTGGGGGGAAAGGGCTGGACACAATCTTTTCAGCTTCCCTCTCTGTATAAATACTGTTCTTTAATATTTCTCTTGCTTTGTAATGACCAAAGGAGAATGGGGTTGACTATAGTATTAACTTTTTGATAAAGAGCTGGTTCGATTCTTACCCGTGTGGGGTCTTGCCCAGGGTTCTTAGCCTGCGTAGTGTAATAAACTCTGCCTCTAGCATGTCTGTGCCCATGCTTTCTGCCTGTGCCCTGGGGAGGGGGGTCAGCTGCTCTGGGCATTGTGGCTCATGGAACTGTGGGTGCACTCAGCTTCTGGCCTTGAATTGGTGATTTTGTGCCAGGGTGAGGTGCTGTGTGAGAAGAGCACCCAGCGTGGGGCATGGCAGGGCTGGGTGTGCTGCTCTCCAACCTCCTGGGGCATTGGCTCAGGGCTGAGGCTGGGAGAGAGCTGGCCCTGAGCTCTTAGGGCTGGGTCTAACCTCCAGGAGCCAGTGGGAGGGGGTGAAACACCTGAGGGCAGGTGTAGGGCTCTATTCCCTGCCAGAGGCTTGGTCATGGCTGTGGAGCAGTGCCATCAGCTCCTGCCCACAGGGGGAGTGGTATGAGCTTGTTCCTTCCCTTCCCACCTGTTCTGGACAGGTAGCCAAGCTTCCTTAGAATCACAGAATGGTTGGATCTCAAAGATAAGCCCTTTCCAACCCTCTGCCCTGGGCAAGGACACTGTCCAGTACACCAGGTTGTTCCAAGCGCTGTCCAACTTGGCCTTGAACACTTCCAGGGATGGGGTAGCCACAACTCTGGGCAACCTGTGCCAGGGTTTCTCACCCTCACAGGAAAGAACTTTTTCCTACCATCTGATCTAAACCTACTGTTTCTGTGTGAACCAATTCTCTATTGTCCTGTCACTTCTGTTCCTGATGGAAGAGTCCCTCTCTGGCTTCCTTGTAGCTCCTTCAGATACTGGAGGGGGCTGCACGTTCTCCACCAGCCTTGTCTTCTCCAGGCTGAACAATACAATTTTTTCAGGTTGTCTCCTGACAGGTGCTCTTGTCCCCTTATCTACTCCATGGCCTCCTCTGGCCATGCTCCCAAGTGCTCTGTATCATCGTGGAAGGGACCTCAGAGCTGGATGCAGCACTTCAGGTTGGGTCTCAGCAGAGCAGAGGGTCAGAATCCCCTCCCCTGCCCTGCTGCCCACACGGCACTGCATGCGGCCCAGGACAGAGCTGGCTTTCTAAGCTGCTAGTGCATATCGCTGTTCCAGCCTTGGGAACGATATGGCCTGAGGGTCGCAGCTCTTGCTTTCACCCTCAGGCTCCCCTGGACTCTCCTCTAAGCCCCTCTCTGGGGCTCTTCCAGCTGCGTTCCCTTCACCTCTGCAGTGACAGCCCGGGGACACCATCCCTTCTGAAGCCCCCACGGAGACAAGAGCTGGTCACAGCATGTTGGTATACATCATACATTTATTAGTGAATATCCCTCTCAAAATCAGCCACAACATTAAAAAAAATAATGATTGCACTACTTGGTCAAGCAGAACTAGCAACTTTCATTTTAAAAAAAGTACAAATCTGTTAAAAATTTCAATCAGTATAATACACATATATATAATACAACATACTAGTTATGTTAAATGCTACAAAACCAATATGATTCCAATGGAATGGAAAAAAACAAACACTTTTAGAGCTTTAAGAACCTTTTTTTTCTATATATTAGCCTTTTTTCAAATACATACATGGGAAAAATGAGGTAACTGTAAAATGTGCAAGTAACAGAGCAAAAAAAATTATATATATATATTTATATATATATATATATATATAAAAACTTTCTAACACAGAACACACGTCCTAGCACCTTCCGGGGAGCCGCGGGGGCCGCGGGGGTCCCACCGGAGGGCCCGGGGACTGGTATAATAGAACAGTAAACAGTCCACTATCCCACCACAGGAATTCATTGGTAAACAGTGGTATCTACAGCGCAGTCAGCAATCACAAACACCCTAAATAATTGTTTTTTAGTATTTTTTTTTTGTCATTTTTTCTTTTTGTCATTTTTTTTTTAAATGATACTTTTAGCTGCTCATTGGAATAAATTCTGCAGCACACGAGCTGTGAGCTTTCGAGTCGCCGTCAAAGGACCGTAAGGCTTTCCTGGCTCCCTGGGCACCGCGAGGGCGGGAGGGGAGGAGGGGGGCGTCTCCGGGGGCGCGAGGCCGCCGCGCGGCACGGGGACTCCTTTGGTTATCTGTCACTGAGTGAGGGACGGGGAGGGGGCCGGGGTCCTGCCCAAGGGGCACCGAGCCCAGCGGTGCCGCGGCGGAGCTGGTGGCGCCAGGCCGGGACCCTCGGCCTTGACGCTCCCCCCGGAGCGTGGCTGCCGGAGAGGTGAGAAAGGGCAGCGAGGGGACTGGCCTGTCGCCCCACGCCGCTTGCCGGCCCCGTGCCCAACCAGGCAGTGATCAGGGCTGGCCCCACTGGTGGCTGGCACTGCCCTGCAGGCGCCGTCGTGCCCACCCACGTGCCGGGCACAGCCCCTCGCCTCACACCCGGCCCAGGGCCAGCCCCGCACCTGCCCCCCGCCCCGCGGGGAGCGGCCCCATCCCACCCCGGCCCCCGGCCCCTTGCACACGCCGCCACCGCGGGCGCTCCCCACCCCCGCCGCCGCCTCCCGCCTGGAGGGGCGCGGACCCCGCAGGGACGGCCCTGAAAGTCTCACGGTCCTGCTGTGGCGTTGCGGACATGTGCAGTACAGTGCATGGCAGTATCAGCTGAGCACAAAAACCCCTCTCCCCACCCCCCCTCACCCCACAGCCGGCTAGACGTAGCCAAGACCACGTTCCAAGCTGGTCAGACATGCATGCATATTTGTGAACATTTACATAGGGCTGGCGTCCGCTCGGAGGCTCCCAGGCGTCAGCGACGCGCCACGAGGGGAGGGCAGTGCTCTCACCACCACCCCCGCCACCGCCTCCCGTCACCCTCCTCGCTAATTAATCATGCAAAACAACGGCCACGCGGGATTGATGGAGCCGGGCAGCGGTGTGGCAGCTTCTCCCCCAGCCCCGTCGCCCGGTCCCGCATGGGCAGGGGGGATATGGCAGCGGGGGGCTGCTCACAGCTCCCCCAGCGCCAGCCGGGGCAGGGCTAGGGTAGCACTGAAAATACACCACGAGGTTATGAATAAAACTCCCTGCTCCGGGGGCTGGGGGGGCACCCGCTGCAGCCTAGCCGGCCCCTGCTGCCCACCGGCCAGGGACACCGCACCACACCGTCCAGCCAGCAGGACGGGGAACGGGGGCTACCTTGATTTACATTGTCAGGACAGGGAAAGGAGAGCAGGGGCCGGGCAGCACACTGGGGACACCACATGCCCATGGCCACAGGACGGGGCTGGCATCCCCCCTCAGGCCTGGTTGCCTCATAGGATGCCACATGACTTGGCCCCGGGGGCTGCACCAGCCAGGCATGGGGGAATGAACAGGGAGAGGGGCCAGGGCTGTGCCAGCACCGTCCTCCCACTGGTGAAAGACCCTAAGCAGCCATAACCCTCCAGGGTTCCCCAGGGCACCTGAGGCAGGAAAAGGGCTGAGCCGGGCTGCATATGAGAGCAAGGACAGACGTTCCTGCCTTCCTGCCCCGGCCATGCTGCAGGGTTGCTGGTGTCCCACCTTGGCCACATTCCGCCAGGCACCTCCTCTGGCCGTCCCCGGGGCCGGCCCAGCGCTCCGGCTTGGGGTGCCGCAGCATCAAACCCACAGCGCTCCCTCCTCTCTCCTCCCCGTGTCCTCCTCGAGCAACGTTGAGGGGAGGAGCCGCCTGCGCACCCCTGGGGCATACGGCCACAGAACCAAAATTGTGACGGAAATGGAAACAGGAAAAAAAAACCTATTGTAAAAATTAAAAAAAAAAAAAAAAAAAAAAAAGTGACAAAGGGAAAAACCACTAATTCCCTAGCGGAGTACAAAGACCTGGAAAAGTGATGGAGCAACAACAGCGTCTTTGGAGCGCGGAGGGCACGGCCACGCGCCTCCCGCCTCCAGCACAACACGATTCGGGGCCCTGGGAGCGCAGCGGGCAGGCGTCCGGCCAAGTCCGTGCCCCGGCGGGGAGGAGGAGGGCTGGCCGGGAGCCCGGACTGCTCAATGCTCACCACATCCGAGGAGAGGCTTTGGGGAGGGGGGTAAGCGCAGGGTCAGGCCCCAGCAGCGGGCAGCGGCCCTCGCCCCGGCCCGGCGACCTCGTCCTCTAGCGAATTGTGCGGCACAGCGCCCGCCAGCTTCAGTCCGCCTCCCGCTGCACCTCCGACGCGTCCGCCCGGCAGATCGGGCACGTGCGGTTCGCCTGCAGGCAACCAGAGACAGGGCAAGTGAGGGGACACCCCATGGCACCAGCTGCACCCACACCCCACCGGTAAGGGTTGGAACCACACCCTGGGAGTGTCTGATCCAGCCTGGCACAGTGCTTGGCCCCAGCTCCCAGTGCATCCCTCCTGTGCTGCAGGGCACTGAGGCCACCCAAAAGGCAGCACTTGGTGCCCTCAATGCTCCCAAGAAGCCACCACACTCCTCACAGAGGGCACAGGCAGTACCTTTAACCATTTGTCGACACACTTGGCGTGGAACTCGTGGTTGCAGGGCAGGACGCGGAGAAGCTGCCGGGCCTCGAAGTCACTGAAGCACACAACGCACCTGGGGGAGGCAGCCATCAGTAGGACCCCACCTCCAGCCATGGCCCTACCACCAGCCCTGGCCCCCAGCCCCTCAACAGACTCCCACGTGCACCCCGGGCTCACTCACAGGGTCTGCTCGGACTGGTGGCTCTCAGGGTTGAAGCGGTAGGACGGGAGGTGTTCGATGTCTGCTTTGGTGAGTCCCCGTGGCTTGGCCTCCCCCAGCCGCTCGGCCAAGTTCAGCAGTGCCTGGAAGGAGATGCAGAGGATGGTTTAGCTCATCTCACGTCCCAGCACAGCACCGCTCCAGGCTCTCCCCTCCCAGAAGAGTGATCACCACAACCCCCAGCCCTCAATCCCACCATCCTGTGGGGAAGCTGAGCCAACATACCTCGTAATTCTCCATCTCCACATCATCCACATCCAGGTCTAGGCTGATCGTGGGCCCCACGGCCGTCGGTGACACAGGAAGCATAGAGCTGGGGGGGAAGGATGGGATAGTCGGTGTGGGGCCACAAACCCCAACCTCCACCTTGACATCTCGAGGGGGGCAGAGCCACCTGTGCCAACACTGTGCCACTGTGGGCCCCACCCACAGCACCACCCCTTCCCTATACCATAACCCCCTGGTACTCACAGGAAATAGGGCAGGAAGCTCGGATAGTACGGAGGCGGCGGTGGAGGGGGTGGCGGTGGGGGCAGCGCCTGTTGCAGCCGGTACCGCTGAGCGTTCAGCCGCCGGGGCATCATGTGGGGGTATGGCTGCAGGGAGAGACAGGGCACTCAGAGCCGTGCCAGCCCCACAGTGTCCCCAACCCCTCCACAGGACAGGGACTCACCACACCAAATGGCAGTTCTTGGTGCAGCGGGTCGTGAGGGAGGTAATGCAGCGGCATGGAGGGCGACAGCGTGGGGGCGTGGTGAGACGGGGGGTATGTGAAGCCTGCGATAGGGTGCTGCTCCCCACGTAGGTCCACATCATTGTCTATCCTCTGCAGAGGCTGCGGGGGAAACAGTTAGGCTGGGAGAAGCATCCCATCGACACTTCCCCGACACTACCAGGACCCTGGGCATCCTTACCCACCACCCCCAGCTCAGACCCACAGGGGTTGCAGAAGGACAAGACCCCAAGGCGGTGTTCGTTGGGTGCATCACATCCCAAACCCGTACCCCCACCCCAACTCACCATGCGTGGATGCTGGGCTTGGAGAGGTACAAACTGCCCCAGGGGGGCCATGTGGGGCGGCTGGTGAGGGGGCACTGGCGGCGGGGGCGGGTGCAGGATGTAATGGTCGCTGGAGATGATGGGGGGGAATGTCTGGTAGGAGACGGGAAGCTGTTGCATGGCACATGCCTGAATCAGCTGTGGGGAGACACAGAGAGAAAAAAACAGGGTCAGACACCCCTGCCCTCTCCCCAGGACCTCCAACAGACCCTCAGACATTTGCCCTCCAGTGGGCCTGAGTACCCACATAACCTCTGGGCACCCATGGTCCAGGCTGTCCCCAGGTGTCCCCTGCCATGACTCACCGGGGGTGGGAGGCAGCAGAGCGGGTAGTGCTGTCCACTGAACATCACTGAGCATGCTGGGAGCTGCTGGGTGCTGCACCCAGGGATGTGCTGGCCAGCGTGGATGGGGAAGCCTTGCGTCGTGACGGTGGTAACCGTGTAGGAGAGAGGGACAGGTCCCTGGTGCACCTGAGGATGAGGCGCCAAGGGCACTGTCAGGACACAGCCCTGGCTGAGCTGTCCCCATCCTGACAGGGTGACAGCAGGGTGTTGAGCACCCAGCACTGGAAAACAACACCTGGCACCTCCATCCCACCAGTGGTGGCCAGAGAAAAGGTCCGAGTGCAGGCTCAGTTTCACAAAGCTTTTGCTCCCCACAGACGAGCTGGCACAGCCTCCAAGCCAGCGCTGCCACCACAGATGACAGTGACAATTATGACATGAACAACCCTATGAGGGGACTACCCCCAGACCCTGGGAGCAGAGACCACCCCGGGCACACTCAAGTTGGTATAGGGACCCCAGGATTTAAGTGCTCAGAGGACAAGAACACCAAAAGGCTCAGGGTTGGGTGCTCCCAGCAGCAAGTGGTCAGAGGGGACCCAGGGACATGTCACCACCCCAGACACCAGTCCAGGGCCACACTTAGGAGTAGGGCTGGGGCTGCAGTACCTACCTGGTCATGCAGATCCACCATGAATGGGTTCTGGTGGGGCGGGTGAGCAGCTGGGTGAAGCATTCGTGGCGGCGTGCTGGGAAGAGCGTAGGCACGGGGCTCATCTACAGGGATGTGCGGCTGCTGGGGGAAGGCAGGGTGCAGCTGGGGCTCATCCTGGCCCAGCAGGGTTGCCAGAGGTCTGTCGCGTCGTCCCCACTGACGCCTGGCAGGGGGGCTGTGGGGCCACCGCAGGAGAGAAACAGAGCAGGAGTGACCCCCAGGCCAGGGGCACCGCAGCCCCAGGTAGGGTGGCTACAGGTGGGTCGGTGCCAGCCCAGTGCCCAGGGCGAGACGCTCAGGGCATTGTGCCAGGCCACATCAGGTTGGGCAGCTCCACAAACAGCTTCTCTGCTCACTCTGCGAGTGCCCTCTCAGTGTCCGCAGCACAGAAAGGACCCTCTGCTCCCCAGGGACCCCTCAGTCAGGTCAAGTGGATGTGCTTCCCTGTCAATCTCCACCCAAGTCCCTCGGGAGACGGTGCCTTGCCCCAGCAGGGCCAGAGAACCAACCCTACGTCCCCACAGGCTGTGGGGGACAGGGCTCCACACCGCACCCCGTACCTTCGCCGGAGGTGGTCGGGGCTGCTGCAGGGTCCCCCCGAGAAACGGCGCTGGGCAAAAGGGGCAGAGGGCGGCCGCCTATTCACTGCCAGTTCCCATGGTCGCATTGGTGACGTCGGGAGGCGGATGGGCACACGGGACCTCAGGTTCCAGGCAGGGCAAGACACCAGCACCTTGGATCCTGTGAGAAGGACAGCTGGGTCACGGCACCACAACCTCTGGGGCTGCACAGGGCTACAGGAGCCCCCAGTCCTCCCCATGCCCCAAGCCGGCACAGCATCACCCCAGCTCACTCCTTCACCATCTGCTTTGGGAGAGGGAAGAAAGGAGGCACCGAGCAGGGCTGGGGCAGCCACTGCACCCACGGACTTGCTAGAAGGGGTGGGAGGGGAATTGCAGCCTGCTTGGCTCCTGCCATGCCCCTAAATGCTGGGAGTCAGACCACCCTTTCCATGACCAGAGACCTGCACAAGTGACATTGAATCAGCACGGCACCACTGTCCCCCCACAGCTCAGCCTGCTGCTCCCTCCCCACAAGGATTGTAATGCCAAGGGCTGGAGCTCTTGCTGCTGCAGCCACCCTCTCTCCTGGAGCTGGCTACAGAAGAGCCCATCCACATCATCCCCCCATTACTGTCCCTCCACTGCATGGCCAGAGCTACCCCCCATGCACAACACAGACACAAAGGGAGAGAGAAGAGCTTGTTTTTGGCACAGAGAAAAGCAAGTAGTGAAGGGCCCTGCGGCCTGGCTGCTCGATAGCCAATGGGGAGCCTGAGCGGTGGCGTGGGGGGTTTCCAGCATGTCCTTGGCCAAGATAGGCTCCAGTGCTGGTTCTGGGGACTGCTCTCTCTTGCTGGACTCCTTCACAACCTACTCTGGAGTGACACTGCTGCCCTGGTAGCAGGCACAGGGGCTGGCAAGGGCAGTGGGGCTCACGGCCCTGCTGTGTCAGGGTTGTGCACCTCAACTCCCTGCTGCACACAGGGCACAGCCGCACATCCCTGCGGAGCAGGGGACAGGCATGGGCTATGTCGAAGTCAGGCAGGCAGCTCTGCTTCCCCAGCTGCTTCCAGACACAGAGGGACAGTGGGAACACAGGCAAGCGGACTGGGTACAGAGCCCTGGCCCTGCCCCATCTCCCCTCCTGCACCCAGGCTGGCTGATGTCCTCATACCAGAGCCCCCTCCTACCACACAATTCAGCCCCCTCAGTCCCAGTGAAGCTTAGCACTGCAGAAACATCTGCACATGGGACTGTGCTTCCCTAGGCTCTGGTTTCCAGGGTCCCAAAAGGACCTTCCATGGCTCAATGTGTGTCCAACACCCTCCCTGGGCACCCTCCCACTGCCCACCTTCCTTCAGCCTCCACAGCCCTGGTCAGCAAGTGGAAGCAGTCATGGCCTTGGCACTGCAGCCCACCTGCCCCTAAATTCAGCTTGCCTGCAGGCTGGTGCCCTCCCAAACCATCTCCTTCAGCCACACTTCTTCCTCAGTGTCAATGGTAAAGGCACACTGGGGGCAGGAAGGGTACCTGGATCCTGGGGAACACTGCTCAGTCCCAGGAGGAGGCTGAGAGAGGGTCAGCCCAGCAGCAAGAAGCTGCAATGTCACTTTTGGGTGATGGGCATCAGCAAGCACGGTGAGATGTCACCAGGGCAAGCTCTGTGCCACACACGGGTCTCTTCTTAACCTCACTTCCACCTACTACACTACTGTGAAAGCTGAAAGTAAATTTCTCTCTTTGTTTTGGGAGGAAAAAGGAAAAACAAGCAAAAGCCACCGGCTGAACTCTAAGGAACCTCATCTGTGCCTGCTGCCAGGGAAGGGGGTGTGCCAGAACAGGAAGGGTCTGCCCCACGGGTGGCTTATTCTGTTCCCCTCAACACTGCTCGGCTGCCGTGTTCCCCTGAGCAGGCTGGAGACCAGGGCACATCAGCAGCCCAGGTTTAACCCCACTCCTAAGAAGCCTCTCTGAGGTGTTAATGCTTTCAGTTCCACATCCTCACTCTCGGAGCACACATGGTATCAAGGCCCTGCGTGACCCGGCGGGCACCTTCTAGACCAGACACCACAGCGATGGGCTTCGGGATGGGTTTCCCCAGAGGCACACTGAAGCCACACAAGGGCTCGCCTGTTCGCGGGACCTCCGGAGCAGTGGGGGCTGCCTGGGCTTCGAGCACCCTAGGACGGCACCTCGAGGCGGGACATCCCCGACTCGCGGACGCGGTGGTGGCCCGGCCCCCATCCTGCCACAACGAGCACCCCCAAGGCATCCACCCTCTTGCTCCACGCGGGCACACCCAGCTCCCTCCCTCGCACTCGTGGCTGGGAGCCAGCGGCCACCCCGGGCAGGGTGGCCGCGACCCCGAGGAGGCCACGGCAGCCCGACAGCGAAGGGCACCGCGATCCTCGCAGCCCCTCGGAGGGGCGGAGGGAGGCGGCTCCCGGGCCCCGTCGAGAACAAAGTTAGCAGCGCGCCAGCGCTCACGCCCGGTGCCATCTGCTCGGGCAGAGCCGGGCTCGGGGGCTGCCGAGGGAGCCGCCCGCCCCGACTGTGCTCCCACCCCGCCGCCGGCTCAGTCCCGGCAACCCCAGCTCCCCCGAAACCCCTTCCCCGCCGCTCTCCCGGGAGCGGGGTCACCGCTGGCCCCGCCGCACCGGCAGCTCCTTTAGAGGGCCGACCCCGACCCCAAACCCAAACCCGACCCGAGCTCGGCTCCCGCATCTCCAGGACGGCGACACGCGGCGGAGCGAGCGGCGCATCCCGGAGCGCTCCGACGGGGCGCCCCGCCGTGCAGCACCCCGGGAAGGCACCGTGACCACCGGCCCCGGGCAGCGCACCCCGGGCTGCGGCCCCCGCCGCAGAGCCCCACCGGTGCCGGCGTCGGTGCGGGCGCGGAGCTGTGGCTTTAAGAGCGGCCGCTCCGGGGCCATGTGCTCGGCGCCAAACAAAAGCAATAACAAAGGCGGCCGCCGGGCCCCGCCGCCGCCGCCCGGGGCAGGTGCCGCCGAAGGTCCGGGGGGCGGCCCCCGCCCCCGCCCCGCTCACGCCCCCCCCGGCCCGCACGTACCTGCAGCGATGGCCTGGGCCGCCGCTCCGGTGCAGCCGCGGCGCCCCCGCCCCCTCCCTCCCGCCGCTCTTTGTTCGCCGACGCCGGGCCCGGGCCTGCCCCCCCCCCGCCGGCCCGCCGCCGGCCCTCCCCTCCCTCCCTCCCGCCCGCCTCCCGCCGGGCCGGCCCCCTCCCCGCCGCCGCTGTTTCCGGTGCCTCTTTGTTGTGCGCGGCGCGGGGCGGCCGCGGCGGGTGCGTGTCCCTTTAAGAGCCGGCGGGACGCGCCGGAGCGATCGCAGCGCTCGGGGGCACCGGGGGCGCGCGCGGGGGCGGGGGGGGACCGGGGGCACCGGGGGGGGAGATGGGGGGGCGGCGCGGCGCGCGCGCGTCCCACGTGACCAGGCGTGTCACGGTCCGCAGCCATCTTGGAGCGCGGGGCCGCCACGCGGGGCAGCGACCCCCGCCCGGGACCACCGGGACGGGCCCGGGGCGGGAGCACAGGGCACCAGCCACCTCACCCCGCCGGGATGGCCCCCACGCCTGGGGGCATCTTACCTGCGGCTGTGTCCCCCCCCCGGGCCCCAGCTCCGTGAGCCTGGTGGGCTGAAAAGTCCGGGCAAGGGGATGGGGAAGAAGGAGCTCGGCCCCCCTGTCACCTCCCCCACTGGGACGGGAGCACGGAGGAGCTGCTCCCCTCCTGCTCTGCACATCAAGCCCTTGCCCGCACCAACAGCTCTGCCATGACGTCTCACCCTGGACAAACTTCCATGCACTGGAAAAGCCCCTTTTGCTTTACAAAAGCCTCCTACTCTCTCACAGTTATTAAACAAGGAGCAGGTACTACGTCGACCATCTCCTGCACAGCTCACCTGAGCAAGTCCCCTGGCTTGTGGCTATCACTGGAAGCTGAACACTGAGAGGCCGAGCCACCGGTTCCCAGGAGCCATACAACGGGAAGGCTGTGCCACTGATTCCCTGGGAACCACACACTGGGAGGCTGAGCCACCGGCTCCTCGGGGCCTGCTCACCAAGACGAGCCAGCAGCTCCCCGTGTGCCCTCGGAGCCCCCCTCAGTGCCAGTCAGACCCCCCTGCTCAGGGCAGCGTGTCGCAGCAGCTTCGCTGAGAGCCAGATGCTGCAGCCGAGCCAAATTTCCCCCGGTTACAACGCACACTTAGAAATTCCCAGGTAGGCGAGCGAGCCAACCGGCAGCCCTGATGTAATGCCTATAAACCAGCCCTCCCCTGACAGCTGGGTTTTAAAGTGCTAACAACCAAAAGGGAGCTAATTAATTTGTAGCATCACCCCTTTCAAAGAAGACCTCAGATCGACAATTTAACAATTCAGTAGCTCATCACTGCAGATGAGCAGTTGGATTCAGCTTTGCCCCATCCCAGCCCAGTGCCCTCCACACCCCTCTCAAGGCCAGTTTGACAGCTCTTACCCTCACCCCAAATCCAGGAACGCAGGAGGAACCACACCAGGCTCAAGGACCTCCCAGGACATGGAGGATCCAGGGGCAAGCTCCCTCTATTATGACTGTCAACAGCATAATGGACAACTGCTTCTGTCCCCATGGCAGGGGACACACAGGACAGGAAAGCAGCACAGTGGGGCAGACCTACCATGGAGTCAGATCCATGTGCTCACACAGGCACACCAGGAGAAACAGCCAAAGGACTCGATCAGCCCAGACCTGAACAACCACCCTTCCAGGTCTGCTCTACTTCGCTCCAAGATTTGAGGACTGGAGGTAAGAGAAGGAAAACAGCACTCTGCCCTTTGACCTTGCCACTATTTGTGCACAGAGGCAACACTGCACCTTCCCAAGGCTGCCAGGACACAGTCAGCGCACCGGCAGCAGGCAGAGGCCACAGATGGTGGATATCTGTGCAGACACTCCCTGCGGACCCGCTCCAGCGTCACCAGCTCCCCCGCGGCCAGCAGCTATCGATGTCCTCAGGACAGCGTTGGGAGAAGCCATCGATGGAGCACAGCTCACATGCTGCTCCTGCTCCCTGCCCAGCCAGGCTGGATTATCCCTGTGGTGCAGCCACACTGCCAGCACGGACAGGGCACCACACGTGCAGCTTCAGGGTCAGAGCATGTAGAAGTGGCTCGGCCCACCC